TTATTAGTCTGTGTATATCTCAAAATCTTAAAATGCTCTGTTCCACCTTATGATGTCATGATCAACAGCTACCTTTTACCTTTAATTCAGTAGAAATGGGCGATTCCAAATACTTCTGGTGAAGCTGTATGGAGTATGGAATCACATTACAAGGTGGAGAAGAAAAAGTCAGTCTAAATATGCAGCGTTTGTGTGTTAAATATGTTAGTTAACTGGAAAACTAGCACTACATGACATCACAAGGTGGAACAGAGCATTTTGAGCTTTGGAGAAAAAAAACTAACAATAAAAGCTTATTCGAACATGTGTGAATGAAACAAAACAACTCCAGGTATGTTTTTGATGAGGGAACAACATTCTAACTTGGTCAAAAGCTCACTAAAAGTCAAATCTGTGTAATATAGGACCTCTAAATCTCATTCTTATGTACTTGAGTTTGATTCCCCTCTCATCTATTGATCACCGTTCCCATGTTTAGCTCAGTTCTTAGTCTGGTCCAGTACACACCACTCTTAACAGATCTGCACCATCAGCTGTGGGGAGTAGAACCTGCAGACTGGCACTATAGGTTTCTCTCATTCATCACACTCTTTGCTAATTAGCTGGCAGGTCAGGGATTTCCTCACCAGAGCCGTCAAAACATCCCCTCCTCCATTTCATTATAATCCAAATGATACCCAACAAGCACAGAGCGGACGTGCTCCTGGCCCTTTGTGTTAAGTGGAGGGGGTCTTCATCTGCTGGCAGTACTCGAGCTTTTTCTGTTGCTGCATTCATTTTGTGTACCTTTGTATTTTGTGTTTTGTAATGTCGTATGTTGCCCTTGAGTGTCTTGAAAGCCTCCTCAAATAAAATGTATTTCTATTATTATTCATATGCAGTATAAAGGTTTAAAAGGTTCTGTAGAGATATATTGTATAAGCAGCTCTTGAGGTCAAAGTAAGTTCACTGTGTGCTGTCTGCATTTAATTAGAAACCATGTTATAGCCCAATTACCAGGAAGTGCAAATTAGCATGCTAGTTGTTGTTAGCTTTACTGCCACAGCAAAACTCTGCTCCACTCCACTCTGTTGTGGAAAGCGCTTAAATGAAAAAATAGGAGACACAAACGGAGTACAACTCAAATTATACAGGATCAGTAGCCTCAATACTTTTTAGTATATTTAAGTTAAAATAAAAATAAATCTCCCAAACATAACAAAAGTCTGTGGAGGTACATATATCTGAAGTGAATTTGGAGATGTTACTCACATAGTTACAAATTGTAAAAAAAAACAAAAAAAGGTTGCCACACTTCCTTTGACAAATATCGTATTCTCTCAAGATGTAAAATATTAGCAAGGTCTCGTAGCTTACATTTTAGAGCTTGGCACTGACAGCCCCTTCCATGACATTAAGAATAGTTTCTTTGCGTTAATAAGACAATAGGAAATGAAGTGCTTTTGGCCTGATGTCAGATTATTAAATACTTAAGGTTCCAGCAATAATGTCATTCTAACAATCTGCCTACTTGTGTTAAACACATCAGACCAGTAGGCGACCACTTTTAGACACAAAACAAATTACGTTTTTGCTTTGGATTTTTTACGCAGTATGGTATTAAACATATCCATTTCCATGGAGACAATCAGGTGATGCTACCAGGACAATCTACAGGTCAGAATTGTGGAGAGGTCAACCTGCTCATGGTAAAAAATGCATGATTAGATCTTCAAAAAAATATTATTGAGCAAAAGAAACACCTGTAATTAAATGCAAGATAGATAGATAGATAGGAAGTTGGCAGTACATAACTTTGGACTTTTACTAGGAAAACGTGCCTGTTCAAACTTTGCAAAGAAAACTAGCTGTGGACCAGAGTTTTAGAAACAGAAAGATGAGTACTGAAATGAACTACAAATGTGTTACCATCACTACTGGGAGAAAAACATGCTTCCAAACCACAAACATAACCATAAAAAACTAACTTTAAATGAATGTATTGTTTAACATTTAAAGGTAAATTAAGATTTGAGGTTGTAGGACCTGCCAAATGCTTTTCTTCATGGAGATGTTATTGCTTTGTTTGGCATTAAACCTTTTTATCATAATGAAAAACAAACTAGACCAAGTTACAGGTCAGGGGCCTCATTTATAAAGCTTGCTTACGCAAAAATCTGTGCGTGTGCGCTTCCTACGCCAACCGCGGTATTTATAAAACTCGCCTAAGGCGTGGCTCTTTGCTTAACTCTACGCCAACTCGGGACCTCCTGTAAGTTCTACGCAAAGTCTGGAGACACGGGGAAAAAGCGACACTCATGGAGAGAAGCAGAAGTGAACAGAGTTTGAGGAAGTGTTTGATCAGAAAATCCACGTATATAGAAGAATTACCTTCTGACTTGCGCATTTAAGTGTTTGGTTCGCCAAAATACGGAGAAGGGCTGTTTATTCCACTCATTATTCTCCACAATATTATACATTTGACACTCGTGCACGAGCGCGGCCACGTTCCCAGACTCGGTGTAGCGCAGAGTCCCACAGTCCACATATACCATAGACTTCTATAGAACACAGACTGTGACCTGCACAGAGGACAAAATAATGACCCAACCTGAGAGGAAACTCTTCCCTTGGACGCAGCAGGAGCCAGGCTTTGATTTAATGAACGCAACTTTAACACTTCTACTTTAGTCTTTACGCACCGAGCGGCAGAGTGACCCGAGTCTGCGCACAACACGAAGCCTACTGCCCAAACCTGACCCCAACCAAAATCTTACCTACATTTTTGTGTAATGGGAAACTCTTGTACATGAGAGCTGCTCTCTGACTGTATGAAGAACAGAATAATGCCCGTGTCCGTCCCGACCCAGACCCACACTCACAGGTTCAGCAGTTTGGATGTTTCGTGTGGACTTTAATTGGCAGAATAACATCTGTATCTGATGTGTTTCATGCTAAATCTGTGTCCTCGTGTCCCTCCCGCGCTCCTTTCCCTCTCCAGGGGAGGGCATCTGAATCTCTCGCACGTGCTCATAATTTGACCATTCAGATCAGCGCGTGCACGTATCTACGTGTATATGCATAAATACAGGGCCAGTCCTCACACACTTCATAGACAGACTTAAAAATATAGCGATAAAACTCTTGAAACAGCGAAAAAACACATGGGCTTTACTGCAAAGATGTGCTGCCTAAATATTATAAAATATGATTAAATGAACAGATGAATCATTTTTGTCACTTTTAGTTTTGTATTTATTTATTAAACAAGGTTTAATAAAGTCTTTAATAAAGTCTTTGTCGTGATCACGTGGTGCTGCGTGGAGCGTCCTCCTCCCTCTGTCCCGCGTGTCTCGGTCAAACCCACTGATTATCGGCTCATGTTTAGGGAAATCTCATTCACGAGTCACTTTACATGCTCCTTTTATGGTGAGGTGGAGGTGTGGAGAGGGCGTGACGTGACGTAGGTTTACGTGCGCAAATTGTAGTTGCAGGTGGGATTTATAAAGCAAAGATTGCGTGGTTTGGTGCGTGCGGTGGGTTTTCTAAATATGGAGTTTGCGTGGCGCACGCCTTGTCGTAGCTACTAGGCGTACGCACTAACTTACGACAACTCCTGCGCAGTTTTTATAAATGAGGCCCCAGATCTGTGGAGAGACAATCCCGCTCACACTCAGAATGCCTGTTTATCTAGGTGTGTTTCAGCTTTAACACCATCTGTAATTGAATAATTGTAAGGTAGATCTGTTTAATGTCATACTGTGGAACATTCCAAGCAAAGCAATGTCATCCCAGCAAGTGACACACCCCCAACCAAAAAGTTACATACTGCACTTTTAATTTGTGTGTATTTTTCAGGATGAGTGCTGTTCACAGTTTAGCCATCCCACATAGTGACTAAAAATGTGTAATATCACGTGCCTATTTTAGTCCCTTCTGTTTTTATGTGTGTTTTTGTGCCACTGTTTGACTTTGAATTTCCACTTCAGTATACATGAAGTGGTTTAAATGGACAAACTCTGAGGAAATTGATTAATCTCCATGACGATAATATTACACTTTAAACACAGACCAGAATAGCATTAGTTCAGATCTTATTCTAATGTGAACTAGAATGGGAAATAGCCAATTCTCTGTAGCTCCTGATAAGCTGAACCGTGCACTGAACTGTACTTTGCCTCCAAGTGTTTGAGACAGTCTGCTGCTGCTCTGGCTTTTTTAACTCCCTCCTAGTGTTTCTTGTAGTGTTAAAGGGGAGAGTATGTTCCCAGTTTTAAAAGATTACATTGGCAAACAGCTCTGAGAGAAAGACAAATTCAGTGTTCTTTCATTCCAGGAAACACGATTGCTGATTTGTTTTTAAATTATTTAGCAAGTCCTTGGGCTGTGGGCTTTGTGTACTAAGTATGTCTTTTGGGGGATGGTATCAGAATAAACATTTGACTGGAGGATGTACAAAATGGAAATAAAATCTCCTAGTAGCTATACTAAGTGCAAGAATCTTTCAGTAAACACAAAAACATACTTCCATGATTTCTCAGAAAAAAAGACAAAAAAAAAAATAGTGTACAGGTTTTCCAATTATTGGTACTGACAAATGCTCACTGATTCAAATTATAACATCCAGGAGCACAGTCACAGTGCGTCTTTGATTGCCTGTGGTACAATAAGGTGCCTTGCCCTCTCCTGGTGGGTGGAGAGTCCCTGCCTCAAGTGGAGGAGTTCAAGTATCTCAGGGTCTTGTTCAGGGTGGAGTGTGAGATTGACAGACAGATCAGTGCAGCGATGGCAGTGATGCGGTCGCTGTATCAAACCGTTGCGGTGAAGAGGGAGCTGAGCCGTCATGCATGAGCTCTAGGTAATGATCAACAGGACAAGATTGCGGATACAAGTGGTCAAAATGAGTTTCCACGTAGGGTGGCTGGGCGTTCCCTTAGAGACAGGGTGAAGAGCTCGGAGTAAAGCTGCTGCTCCTCAACGTCTAGAGGAGCCAGTTGAGGTGGCTCGGGCATCTGTTCCGGATGCCTCCTGGGCGCCTCCCTCAGAAGGTGTTCCATCGGGAAAAGGTCCCGGGGAAGTCTGGGAGTCCCTGCTTAGACAGGTGCCCCTATGACCTGGCCCCGTATAAGTGGAAGAAAATGGATGGATGGCGTACCAATAGTCCCAACAATCAAGAAAAATATTTTACTAATCTAAAATGTTATCAAGTTATGTTCAGTATATTAATAATAATATTCATAAGGTATTAGTGCTTTTTCAGACATTAAAATCACTTTACAATTCTGAGGTCATGGGAAGCTATATGTAGAAAGTATTAAAAAAAAAAAAAAAACACATTGAATGGGAGGGTGTGACCAAACTTTTGACTGGTGCAGTTTTTTTTTTCCATTTCAGCATTATTTAACTTTTATTTCTTTGCTACATACTAGTAATTCCATATATATTACTTGATATATTTGATGTCATCTGTGTGTATATCCAATGTAGAAAGTAGTGGTAGTAGTAGCAGCAGAGAGAGTGAGTCCCGACTTTTGACTGGTACCAACAAAAACATTTAACCATCAATTGTGAACAAAATTTGTAAAGAAAGCTACTAAAAACGCTACACTGCTACATAATTCCACACATCTTACTTCATATATTTGATGTCTTCTGTATATATAGCAAATATAAAAATAGTAAACAAAGAAAAAAAAACACTGAATGAGAGAGTGACTGGTCTTTTGCCTGGTCATGTATGATCCTAAAAAAAATACAGTATTAAACCATCAATTGTGAACTAAATTTGTACTAAATAAGCTCACTGACACCTCTGGATCAGAAACACCACATTTGAAAACCCTACTAACTGCCTGACCTGGTTTCTTGAGCCACAAATAACAAAACCAATAGCTCCACGCTCTACTTCACCAATCCTTCACTATGCTTCTCTTCACCGCTAGTGTGTGAACTTGATGTACGACCTCTTTCTAACTCCGGACAGTGGAAGGGCCGCGGGATACGCACTGATTACTGTCTGCTAATTCTTCACAGCGCGCGGTTTCGGAAAAAAAATGACAGCGGAGTCTCGTCGGAATGGCTAATCAATACTGTATTTATGCCCCAGTGCGGAGATGACATCAATACACGCCAGCGGACTTCTGAGGACAAGATAATGAAGGTTTCTTTATTTAGACCGAGCAAAACAGAGGAGTGGATTGTTATAGTGCGAGCTGGCTGTGTTGGAAAATGTCTTTAAATAATTATCAGTTATCAAGTACTTCGTTTAGTGGCTCTTTGTCAACTGCCAAAAGCTTCTTGACTCTGGAAACCACTTTGATCGGCGTACACACACTCTCTCTCTCTCCTCGAGTTCTAGCGGCTGTAAATACATGCCAAATGTAAAAACGTTCAAATAGGACTGTCATGATAATTACTATATCGACTTATCGTTCAATATATGAAAGCTGGAACATGTTTTTTATTTTTTTCATTCATTTTAATTTTTTTTTTTTTTTTTTGCAATATAAAATTTAAGATGTAAAATTATAGATTTACAGATTACAGGTGCTAACTAAGTACTTAAGTATTTCATATGTATTTATTGCAGCTGATGGTTTTTTTAACATTATTGTAAACAGAACATAAATAGAACTCAAACTACACAAATAAACATAATTTAAATTGAGGTAACACAAGCAGACAAGAAATAATTTGTAGTAAAAATATCAAAAGTTGCTACATACTATTGATAAAACTAAGGCTATGTTCAAACTGCAGCCTGAAGTGACTCAAATCCGATTTTGTGGCCCGTATGTGACCTGTATCTGATCTTTTAATGACAGATCCGATTTTTTCAAATGCGACCCAGGCCACTTGGATATGTGCTCCTGAAACCGATACATATCCGATCTTTTGACATGCGACTTCAGTGTGAACAGCCAAAGCGCATTCATCTGACCTACACGTTATCAACAAGCCATAAACGTCACTATTCTGCGCTGAAGTAGGCGAAAATTGTTAATGAACTCCATGTCACTGAAGCGAAGCACATCACCACTCACCACTCTTGGCTCCGTCTCCACATCCACACGTTCCTTTCGAAGGACGTTGCTGCCACTGCCCCACAAAACGCCAGGGCCAAAAACCTCGTGCTTCTCCTTCTCAATCTCCTCCTTAAACAAGTAAGTTGTACATGTTCTGGCTCCGGTACGAGAGGAACTTTAAAACCGCCAGGTGCTCAATGCTCGCGTCCATGTTTGGACAACTTCCGTAAACACAGAGCACGCTCACTGTGGATGACGTCATCGTGTCCTCCAGTGTGCATGAGGGACACTTTCGGGCAGTTTACTGTTCACACTGGAGATCACATACTAGTCACATTTAATTGGAAATGTGAACAACCTTACAAAAACATTGGATTTCACAAAAAAATCGGAATTGAGCATTAAGCCCTGCAGTCTGAACGTAGCCTAAGTCATTTAAATCAAAACAAGCAATTAAACTAAAAAAATATGACCCTATAATTACCACTTAGGTGTTCCCAGTTCTCCTGTGCTTCAGTTTGGACCCACTATCTCCTGCAGCCTGACTCACACTCTGTTCAAGAACATTCTGCAAAAGAGCAAAGTCTACAGCCGAGACGTGTGCCACGACATCGCCAACAGACTGGACAACAAAAACCAGCTCATCATGCGTCTAGATACCAGCATCAGCGATGACAAACTCATGAGAATTGGTAAAAGGGCTGAAAATCTAGAAATAGTTTATGGACCATCTGCCAATCTCCTGGAGGCAACATGAAGATCTGAAAATGTAGAGCTGGAATCAAATGTTGTAAAATGTCTCAACATGGAGCTCAAGGCCAGTCAAATCCAGCCTTGTAAAGCTTCTTCTCTGCTCTGAGGAGAACCTTCACCACTTGTTAGGCTCCTCACCTCAATGACCAATAAACGTTATTTAAGCATCATTCAGTGTTTGCTCTTATATGTTCATGCGCTTTATTAAAGGGTCCATATTACTATTCTAACATAGAACCGAAAATAGTGTAACACTTCAGATCAGGGACCACATATTAATAGCTAGTTAACAGTAAAATGCATAATAAGTGCTTAATTATATCTTTGTTGATATTTATAAAGTTCTTTCAGTGTATTTTTGTTGAAGGCCGTATTTTGTGAGTAAAACCCATTAACTATTTTTTAAAATAGATATTTTTGTGCATACACTGAAATCTTAATAAGCATTAATAAGTGTTTGATCAATACCAACTAATAGTTAAGTAACAACCAATTATCACTTAGTTAACTATTAATATGTGGTCCCTAAACTAAAGTGTCACCGGTAGAATGTAGTTTCCTCGTCAAAACCATACCTGGAGTTGTGTTTTGTTTCATTCACACATGTTTAACACACAAACCCTGCATATTTAGGATGAGTTCTTCTCTCAAACAGCATTTTGAGCTTTGGGGATGTACAGACTAATAATAAAGTATAACTCAAACATGTGTGAATAGAGCAAAACACAACTGCGGGTATGTTTTTGAGGAGGTAACAACATTCTAAATTGGCTTAAAGCTCCCAAGATAGAATTTAGCATAATAAAGGCCATTTAATCTCAAAAGAAAAGATGATCTGCTACGTTTCATCTGCAAACAATAAAAAAATTCACATTACATTACATTACATTATAATTACATTCCTACACAAGCATTACCATCAACTATTGTAGAATAGGGTTGCCAAAAGTATTGAAAATCAGATGCTAATCCATATTAAAACTAACTCATTTGAAAAAGTAAATAGCTCTAGAATGATTTTGATCTAGTATAGTATAAGAGCACAGATAAACCTACCTGGGCTGGGAATTACACACATATAAGACCACATGGTAATATAAAAGAAAGTACTATTATTTATTGTTAAAAATTACACTCTGTTATCTAGGAAATTGTGTTTTTTTTAATTATCATTGTTTCAGAATCAGTATTGACTAGTCTAGTAATGAGTCTAGTCTTTAGTATTGAAATTGAGTTTGAAATGTTAGTGTTAAGACAAAAATACTGTAGAATGAGAGAATCCCATTTTTGTTTTGACCCATTGTTTTACCCATAACAGTTTGGCCCTTTCACTGTTGCTCAAATGACTTCCTTTTTTCTTCTTCTTACAGATTAGTAGCAAAATCTAGTTACTGCCAAATAAATTCCACCAAAAATGAGACTAATTCTTTTCAGAATAGACTCCCACATAGTGTTCTGTATGCGGCACAGATGGCACAGCAGTCCTCGGGTACAAATTTAAGAGTTGCATTTATTTACATAAATGTAGTGTTTACCAAAAAGAGTTTGCCTTCCAGAGCCAAGAAAAAGCCAAATAAACCAATTTATTTTGAAGGAATATGAAATTAGAAAATGTATCCAAGGATTACGAGAGTCATATGGGGATTAAGTGGGGAGAAAACCAGCAATACTGTATAATTTCAACCGTAATAGTTGCCATATTGTGCGACATATTTCTGGTTAAAAGTGAGATTAATCGGCATGCACTTTTCACACAGCGCAGTTCCCCAGAAATCCCCCAAGTCTCCTCCATAAGTGCCAGTTGGCTTGTTCAGATGCCAATATTGTCCCAGTTTTCCCCATGTCCTATCTGCTTGGCTAAAGTCACAATGACGCGTGTCCAGTTTCAAATCCAAGTCTAGAAAACCAAACAAATAAATGACCATTTCTCAACTCTTCATAATTTGGAGGAACACTTCTCCTTATGTTGTTTCAATAGAGCGAAGTCAACACTGTAGTTTTCATGTGTTTTAAAAGGTCCACCGTGTTGTACTTTATTATATGTTCAGTAAACTCTCTTCTGTTTTATGTCCATCAGTTTGCAGATTAACTTTGACTAGTTACATCAAAACTTGACAATTTACCCCAAACCCTAACCCCAATCCTAATGTTAACCAATTTAACCAAATAGCTATCGTAAAATAAATAACTTGTGAAATTGTGTGAGTTGTCTTGTAGAGCAGGAGTCATCAAACTAAGGCCTGCGGGCTAACTCCGGCCCTCCACACCCCTTTGACCGGTCCCCCAGCCCCTCTGCCCCCCACCACTTGAACTGGCCCTATGAGGCAATCCTCCAAAGTTGTCATGGTCTATTTTTTTTATTACTTTTTGCTAAATAATAACATGTCTCCATCTTGTATTTTGGAGATTTTTTTCAATTAAAAATGATGATTTATATAAAGTATTTATACGTATATTAAAACAATTCTATGATGTATTTACATTTGCCGCTGAATTCTCGTCACCTAACAAACTCGAGAGTCACCGCACCCGCAGAGTTCTGTAGTGCAGTTAAGGACAGCAAACTGGTGAGAGTTAAAGTACGAAAAGTTGACAGAGTGTGCAGAGTTCCCAAAGAACACTCCAGCCTAAAATGGTAATCGAGCAGCAGAAAGAAAGTTTGGAGTGAAAAACTTGTGAGAAACTTGTGACAACTGGGAGGGTGCGCTATGTAACTTTCATGGAAGTCATTGGATGGATCGACAAAGCCTGGACTTCAGTGACACCGAAACCTTCCTGTCAAAATTCAGAAAGGCCGGAATAATTCTAACTGGAACTGATGCTGAGTCTGACGACAGTTACACAGAAGAGGAAGCAGCACTCTGTTTACCTCTGGAGGCTGCAGAGTTGCTCAGAAATGACACTGAGGATGAAGAATTTAATGGATTTAGTGATTTGGAGTGAGATCAAGAGTTTGGTAAACTTGGTCTGTTAACAGCCTGTTGTTCTCTATTCTATTGTTATTACTATAAGTTGCCTTTCAAGATGAAATGTCGGTTCCTGATTTTATGAAAATAAATTTCCCCCAAAAAGTGCAACTTCTGTTTTTTTTTTTTTTTTCTTCTTCATTATGGATTTTTTGGTTTGGGCGACTTATACTCCAGAGCGACTTATAACCCCAAAAATATAGTACTCAAACATATGTGAATGAAACAAAACACAACTCTGAGTATGTTTTTGAAGAGGTAAGCACATTCTAACACGGCTTAAATCTTACAAGAGTCAATTTTGCGTAATATAGGACCTTTTCATACCATATTGTGAAACATTCCAGGCAACATAATAACATCCCTTTTTGTAGAAAATTAACATATTCTAGAAATAACAATGTCACCTTGTATTGAATAAATTGAGGCATTCAGCAGTTAAACCCACCCAAGCTTTATTTAGAAGCCACTTGAAATTTAATTTATGCAATCCCAAAATAACACTGCGGCTGTAATCACTATAGCAGATTGTGTTCTACCACCAAATGAGTACTTTAAAACATGTAAACACCAGATTATTCCAAAATCTTCAAAGCCAATTCCCATTAGAAACACTTTGAAAACATTCTAGCTTTTCTTTCGCTTTTTGTCTCTGCACAATCGACAACAACTGCCTTCATTATAGGGACATAGACGGCCTAATAATATCCTATGCCACAGCACTTAATGTCGATATCAAGGGTCATCAATTCCCAGCTTGTTTCATTTCGCAATTCAATAAGAGTTATCCGAGCCAAACTAAGACATAACCGTGTTCGTCAGCTCTGAGGAGGACGAAGATTTGATTAAATTTGAATTTCACTGTGCTCAAGTCATTTCCTCGCAGTGGTTTTGAATAGTTTTATGCAAGCTGAGAGGAGGATATGAGCTGTATGGTCAAAATGAAGCAAGGCGTTTTTAAAATTGGTTTGTATTTAAAAGCTCATTTGATTGCGAAACGGCGGAAATACAAACTTCCTATTCGAGCGATGGAGAGACAAAGGTTCATTTTGTGTCATAAACTTAAACCACAGGATGATGAGGTATTGGTAATTGATGAAATGATTGGCTGAACAGGTAAAAATGTTGCAAAATAATCAAGAATGAATTGGGTATGAACTGGCTACCATATGTACATACCATATGTACTTAACTGCTCTTAAAGTGCATTTGGCAAGTTAGACTACTCAATTTACTAAAACGTAGTTAACGTAATTATTATATTTAAGACTTTACTTTCCCTTTTACTTTAAAAAAAAAAAGTATTTATTTTGCTGAAGTTCATCATTTTACTTAGTGGTTGGACACAGGCAGCAGTTGACACACACAGAGGTAAATCCATAACTATTAAACATAGTGTTTGTTAGTTGTAATTAGACTAGAGCTGCTCGATTATGGAAAAAATCATTATCACGATTATTGTGGTCAATACTGAAATCACGATTCTTCAGTTATTTTTTAGTTACATGCATGCATTTATTCAGCATTTCTCTCTTTCTCAAAAAAAACCCAAAACAAAAAAAAAAAAAAACATTGCTATTGATAAGTTATGCAAAACTGAAAATAAATTTAGGCTACAAATATGTACCAGCAGTTTTGCGATGTATAAAACATAAAATGAATAAAATTTGAACTTTGAACATGAAATAAAGCATAGAAAAACATAAATGTATCCAAAATAAACTATATATTCAGCTGTTCTACAATCTCTATCTTTACAAAATAAAATATACTTACTTATATTTAAAAAAAGTTTTATCATTTCAGCTCAATTATATGAGTCTGGAGATTGTTTGACACACAAATCAAAATGACAATCAAAATTCAATTAAATGCACAGCCTTAGATTAGACAAATAAAAAATAAACAACAACATTGTTATTAAGTTAAATTAATAGTTAAACTGCCAGAAAAAATTCGCCTTCCTAGTGCGTAAATTGTTCCTATGGATGGAATTTTCTATCTTGATATACAAGTAGATAGAAGTTTAAGAACTTAATGCCCCTTCCTGTAGATCAGTTCAGTTTCTTAAAGGTTTCTTAAAGGTCACACAAGAACGCATTTTCTTAAAGGTATTTCTGAACAATAAAATCATCTCTAATGAAACAAAGGCTGAATAGACTTTTAATGACCATACCAATGAAAGCGATAACAAACGGTGTATCATTCGTTCATTCGTTTTTCTAAACAAAACCAAAAATAAGAAAACAAAAAAAAACAAATATTTTCTTCATTATTTGTCTCCAAAAACAAAATGAAAAAAACAGATAATGATATGTTTTTTTTTTGGTTTTTTTTTCAGTTTTCGATTTAGTGTTTAAATAAATAATGGAAAAAAACTGAAATGTTTCCCATTTCTGTGACTTAAACTGCGATACTGGCCTTTTGCACCGCTTACACACTGAACCAGGACTAAAACAGGTCGAAACCAAGTCTAAACCAGGACTAAACCGGTCTCAGTCCCGGTCTCAGTCCTGATCACCTGACAGGCTACCTCTGGGCCCGTCCCAAAACTGAGTACTGGTTCAGTCCTGGTTCAGTCCTGGCTTAGACCTGTCTTAGACCTGTCTTAGACCTGTCTTAGATCCTGTCTTAGACCTGTCTTAGTCCTGTTTTAGTCCTGTTTTAGTCCTGGTTCAGTCCTGGTTCAGTCCTGGTTTAGACCTGTTTAGACCTGTCTTAGACCTGTCTTAGACCTGGCTTAGACCTGGCTTAGACCTGTTTTAGTCCTGTTTTAGTCCTGGTTCAGTCCTGGTTTAGACCTGGCTTAGACCTGGCTTAGACCTGTTTTAGTCCTGTTTCAGTCCAGGTTCAGTCTGTATGCAGCGCAAAATTCCAGCATCTCAGTTTAAGTCACGGAAACGGGAAACTGTCGTTATCCGTTTTTTCCATTATTCGTTTAAAGACAAAATCAAAAACTGAAAAATCAAATCGTTATCCATTGTTTCATTTTGGTTTTAGAGACAAATAATGAAGAAAATAGTTGCTTTTGTTGTTTTCTTATTTTTGGTTTTATTTAGAAAAACGAATGAATTAATGATACACGGATTAATAACATCTCCTTAAAGACAAAAAGGGGGTGTACCACAATGCACCTTTCAATTAGGACAACCACACTTCTATTGAACCAATCCAATCTCTAATAAACAAAAACGTGCCACACCCTGCACCACAAAAGTTATGCAATGCACCTTTAAGTTAGGACAACCACACCTCTATCGAACTGAAGGATATTTGAAAAGAGCAATACACTGAAATTGATTTGCCCATAATCCCTCCTATTGTGGTAATCTGTTGTCCTTTAAACAAAGTACAACTCAAACTTTTGTCCTTACATTAACTCCACGGATACGATCTAGGGAGGAAAAAGCTCGCTGTCTGAAGTCTGTGCTATCAGTGGTGACCTATGTGAGCAGGTATCTGTCTGGGCCCTATTGACTAAATGACATTTTGCAGAAGTCTGGAAGAAAGAGTGAATTGGATA